CTAATTAAATACCCAGACATCGTCGAAGCATCTGCACAAGAAGCCGACATGTCAACCTGAGACCGAGCACTTCGGTCCAATCAATCGACGGGAAAATCAAAAATTCAATCCAATTACACAATAGTAATTAAAAGTTTCTAAAGTGAAGGGTAGTCAGGATGTCGCTCATTTTGTTACCATATTAGATTTGTGTATTTCAAAATCAGTTTTCTGTGACTCATATACTCAAGGTAGTTTATCGACTTTTGACTACTTTGATTTGCCTTATATCTTATCTAGTCTGATTCTTGTGAAATATCCTAATCATTTCTCAGTTGCTCGCAGAGTTCGAGTCCATCAGAAGCTAAGTTTTAGAATCGATCACAGCAGTACACCTGTATTCAGCCAATGTTTCATATCAAATTTTAAGTGTTTCACTAATTTTTCTAAAGATCTGTTACTAAAAAATGTGAAAATTGTGTATATGTATGTGTAAGTTAAATTAGAATAGATAGTTCTAACGTTTCGTTTGGAAAACTGGCCCGTACTTCTCCAAGAAAATTATATATATATATATATATAGTGGACATTTTTACTACTTTAATTGTGATTATTTCCCTGAAGAAGTTCCAACGAATTTGTCGAACGAAACATTGAATTCACTTATTTCAGCTTTTCTGAAGTGTAAACATTTGATTTTGACAACTCTCTACTTTTCAGTCGGTGCCCGATGTTTGTAGAACTGTTTGTTTAAATCCTAATCCTGCCCTTCTAGACATAGTAAGCTTCGCAACTGAATCAACCAGCTCAGAGAACACAACACAATGAAAATCATCTCTCAGAAATACAAATCATCCTTATACTTTCAAAATTACTGTTAAACAAACCTCACGTCTAACTGAGGTTAGTGCTTCTGCTGATGTGGCAAAGCTTCATATCAAAGCTGGTAAAGCAAAAAGGTAATTTTCATTTCCATTTTCAGCTAGAAATCTACTTTATTTATTTATTTTTTCAATTATCTCGATTCCTCCTTATTAAAACCTGTCTACTTTTCTTAAGCATTTTCTCTAGTAGGCTACATTCCACTTCAAATATCATCCTTTCAGTTAACTTATTAAATTAAGTAAGTTGTCTCTTTCAATTTAGCAATGATTTGATTCTTATTAAGCAAAGTGGGAGATAAAAACGGAAAATGCGACTTTCGATATTGTAACAAAGTAATCAGTTTTATCTCATTTTCTTATGAGATTTTAGAAGAAAAAAAGGAAAAAAACACCAGTTTTCTTAACCACTTGAGTTTGTCTTATAAGAATGTTAAATAGATGCTGTGTTCTCAGTGTGGTGAATGAAAGTAGGGTTTTTCATCAAATATTTCATATTCATCAAAAGAAGCAGAAATTTTGTTAAGTACTAATCTGAGAAAACTTTTGTGATATGTAACTCAAATTTCAGATGAAATTAGTTCTACCAAATTAGTTTAATGTTGTATTTCCCTTCAACTTATTTATGTTGGACCATAATGCTCGGCCTCTAGTGACATGTCGGCTGCTACCGAGTACGGATGCTTCAGAGATGCCTTTTAAGGTGATATATTGCTTACTGGTTGATGACTTGCTCTAAACTAAATGGATTTTCATCAGAAGTCAGCCTATGTATGGTCCAAGGAAAACGGTCTCACCTTAAACCCCTCCAAATGCCAAACAGTTAATTTCACCTTTAGGCACAAATCTGACCTAAACAAACTGGTTAGCACTTACGACGCGTGCAGCATAGATGGCAGTGAAATAGAAACCAAGTCGGAAATTAAATACCTAGGCGTCACTCTATCTTCTGATCTTTCCTGGTCGTCCCATATCTTGATGATTTCTAAGAAAATATTCCGTCTTACCTTCTACATCAAGAAGTTAAGACATTCTGGAATAACCCAACCCTTACTACTACAATTCGTTAACTCCCGTATTCTGCCTATTATTCTCTATTGTTCCCCCTTAGTTTTTCGAGGGCTACTGAAGAAAGACTATATCTTATTACGCAGGATGTTAAAGGTTGTCAGTAGGGTAAGCTACGTGCCACTTAACCAGCTTGTTAATATTCTGGTTGACAGGCACATGGACTCACGTGAAAAATCCATTTTATCTAACTCACACCACCGTCTTCGTTCACAACTCTCCATTGTATCTCTTCAGGGGAAAACCAGAAGCCTATATAGAAAACTATATGCTCGCACTAGTAAGTACAAAAACTCATCCATACCCTACTTAGCTCGTGTTCTGTGCGATAAAGAAAGCATAAGGCGTGATACCTATAACTTATTAAATAGTCAGTAGAATAACTGGATCTCGTCTTTCCAATTCATATCTTTTATTGGTACGACGTTTTCTTTCTTCCCTTTTCCTTTTCTCTCCCTCCCTTTTTTTCTCTGTTATGTGCTGCTTTGTTTCTTTCTTCTGCTTACGCCAGTAAGTATGCCAGCATCTACTTTTCTAACACCTTCAAACACTCTGTTCAATTTTGGCTTTGCTACCGACATGCCAATATGTTGTTGTCATAATGAACTGAGATTTCCTTAATCTATGTAGAGTTTTATTTATTGATAGTGTACTAACTAAGTGTAATACTGTAGTGAAATGCTGAGAATTCCATTCTGTATCGCAAGTACTGTTTTAGAATAAAGCAAATTAATATTATTAATATTATTGTAGTAGAATCGAGATGGCATGCTTCTTTCTGTGTAGGATACATTAGCTGGATGTGACTGCATTTCCAATTAATGATGATGTGGCTTAGTGACTTCTTGGATGGTATTAATAATAATAATAAACGACTTTATTCCAAGCAGTAAATTTGATTCAGTGCGGAATCCTTAGAATGCGATACAGTACTGCATCTAATTTTCACTTTACATTACAAATAATTTCCAGGACATTTACAGACATAATGTTCACAAAAGCATAAATGTAAAACTTAAATTAAGAATTAATAGAAGTAGTGACAACAATATATTAATGATGATAAGAATAAAAAAATGACGTTTACTCGCTGTTTGGCAATACGTTAATAATTTCATACCTACCGCTTTTCTCACCACAGATAGTGTATGCCCAATAAGGAGTCGTTGGTTTTTTTTATTAAGCCATTCAAGCCTATAGTCCCATGTGATTTCTTCCAGTCCTAACTGATAAGATGCAAGGAGAGTGTTGTGTGTCAAGAGGATGCTTAGAGTCCTACAGGATGATTCTTCACAGTTCATCACATGAATTCAAATGTCGATCCATAACAATACTATCGAGTTAGCTTAGCGACATGCCATTTGTCCTTTGCAGTTTAAAAAATCTTTCTTAAATAGTCCAGGGAGAGCAATAAAGAAGAAATGGTCAAATGCAAAAATTAACAGATAGTCAAAGTAGATACCGAGTGATACCAGACTGTCTGAACCTCCTTACATAGAAGGATAGGCATACTTAACAAAATTGGCTCCATAATAATATAAAAAGTCATGCAAGAAGAAAGAAAACAATAAAGGTGAAAGGAAACCAGCTTGAGGGACACCGGCTATATTAAGCAAAGTAGTGGAAGACTTTTCTTTATATACACTGTACTGCTTCCTATCAGAAAAATAAGAGTCCGACCAACACCCTGTTCCTGTCACAGCAAATTTGTTTGAAAAAAGATGCCTTAGTACAGAGTAAAAGGGCATATATGTAGTGTAGGAAGGTACACTGAACAAATCTGGCTTCTTTGAATAAACTAGAGATAATATTATGGTGTAAGACAGAAGCGACATCTAAAGTACTTCTACGATGTTTGTAAATAGATTTTTTTCGGCGTTGAAAGCCTTCGATGAAGATTTAAGGTTACGTAAGAGCAGTTTCTCCGTTATTTTAAAAGGTGGTGATAAAAAAAAACTGGTTGTGGGTTTGAGTCTCATTAGGAACATCCTCAGTCACTGAGAATTCAAGTAGATTCGTCTGATAAGTCCCAAATGGGACTTTACCTCCATTGTTTTCTGAAAATCTAATCATGAAAAATACTTGTACTTAGTTTGAGTCTACTGTCCTCTCTCTCTCTCTCTCAGTGATTCCCTGGTTATGACTGAAGGGGAAGTAAAAATCAGGGCAGTGCAAAGATTAGGGTTACTAACTCGATATTCTACCAGCTGATTTGAAATCCTACTACAACTCAGATTATCATTTCAACATAAATTATCATCCATTTCATAAATGGCAATTTCAAAATTCAAGGCTATCCCAGATTTTTAATAACTCAAATTTTGTAACACAGGTAGCTAGATAGTTGCCCAAAACCCTGCATCATTATAAATTTATCAAAAAGGCGAAACCAAAACAACTATTAAGAGTATTATTTTAACAAACATTTCAGCCATACTATGCATGATACTAATTACTCAGGCCCTCCTACAGACTGACTCTTAAAATCAGTTTAGACTAGAAATATCAAGGCCAGAAATAAAATTCAAGCTGTGATGACTAAAATATTTTAAATGAAACCTTTTTTTTTATAAAAACGTTTCGTTTATGATAAAGAAGTAATTAGACAGTTAATTAGTCAACAATAAGCTAACTGTACAGTTTATTTTCAAGACTTAATTTTGTAAGGTATGGATTTATATCAAGTTTCACTTCTAGTGACTGGCTACAGGAAGCAGTTGGTTGGAGTTCTAGTGAGAAGTCATTACAAGTGGGGTCTATCCTGTCGGCAGTGAGGACAAATATTTACGCGTGACATTATCTGGCGGTCGTGCTAAAGTCATGAATTGGTATGAGTTAGAATTCATGGGCCGGTCACTGAGTCGGGTTCCAGTGTCTGGATGGTCTACAAGCTTGACTTGTAACCGGGATGTCTTGAACTGGAACCCTAGTGGGTGCGTACCACCGATGGGTTCCAAACAAGGACGAAACAACTGTCCAATACCTCTAACTGATATCAATCCATTGTCAGATTTTATACAGTTTATTTTAGACGAAGCAAAATGAAAAAACAAAAACAAAGGCAGTAGTTACCTGTAAAACATTCGGAATAAGTAAAGCTTCACCACACTGACTAATACATCTTAGGGAATTCGGTGATTCAGTCTTTTCTTGTAGAAGTGTAAAACCAGTCAAATCACCGTTTAAATGTTGCCTTGTCAGATGTGTTTGAGGATCGTAACATGCTCCAATTGTTAGCCTATGAAGAAAAAAAATAGAGAATAAGGTATCAACATTTACTCTAGATGAGTGTTAGTTAGCAGTGAGAAAAATAAAACGGAGATAATAAGAATTCTGTGAAAGTTTGTTTTCCTAATTACTTTTAACATTCCTTATAAGCATGCATCCACTTAATGACATAGTTGGTAGAAGTTAAATTATAAGGATGAAATGCATTCATAGATCTATAATTAAAGCAGAAGGAAAAGAACAGATATTAAAGCTGCTTATTTTGTGATCAAATATAATTATAATTTCACCCATGCGATATTACATGAGGTTGTAATATGTAATTTTTATCAGACAAACAATATTCCTTCCCAATACTAATTTAGCACGTAGTTGACTCCTAGTTGGGGTGATCTATCTGTGCAGTTATTATAAGGGGACATGGAACAGTGCGATGAGACGTAAACGTTTACGTAAGAAGTATAAATAAGGTGAGTTTCTTTTATTTTATCGGAAATAATCCAAGTATCATGACCCAAGTGGTCTAGTGGATAGCGCTTTGTGCATCGGTTTTTCGGTGGTAGAATTCTCACTTATTACACATGAGGTGGAGGTTTCGATTCCTGGTGAGCAGACTCTTTGACTTCGCCCAGTTTATTAGTCGGTAGCAAGTTCTGAAAAAGAAGGAAGGTTAGGCGTGAGGTTAGGAACCTCCCCTCGCGTAAAACAACAACTGCACGGCTACTGACACTTCAAGACTTTCAGCTTGAACTCTATGTACTACTCGGTGCGTAAAGGAAAAAAAAATTCATTTGTCGGTGCAGATGTGTACCCTGATTGGGATGGTTTACTGGAGAAGCTTTCGTTGTCCTTCTAGACAGTATGTGTATGTAGCCGGATACGCTGTTTAAGAAGACAGTAAGGGCTTGACAATTAAAGCATGCGGTTCAGGAATCACACAACTTATAAGGTTTCCTCTCAGCTCGTAAGACTAACGTCTTAGGTATCATCACTGACTGAAATTAGCCTTCACTGAGTATCTATTCACACGAAAACGAATCAGAGATAAAAGTAAACTTCAGCTCACCCTTTTGCCTTAGGGATAAATATATGGTGTTTTGGATTCTATATCATTTCATCTTATATATATATGCCATCTGAATTTCTTTTACAAAAAAAGGTTTCTTAATCATAGTAAACAAGTGAGATAGAAGAAACCAGCCAAAACAGTTAGACGTGTATAATGCATATATCCTAGGCACAGCATGACGTAATAATAATAAATAATTCTTCGCAATTATATAAGCTGTTCTGTACTTGAGACTGACGAATATGACAGAGTTATAAAGTTTTAACGAAAAGTGTAATGAATGTTTGTGTAGATTGGTCATTTGGATCTGTCAATATTTTGGGTACAACTCGGCTAAGTGGGTCAGATTTCTCATTGAATAGGCTATAAGCTACTCTTATTTTGGACCCCCCAATAACAGTTTTTATATGCAGCAAATGCAGGGTATTTATTTCATAATCAAGATTACAAAAGCTTTTGTTTTTCACCATCTCATTTCCGTCCAGTTCACTTTATTGATAATAATTCAGGAATTTAAACACTGACAGCTGATCTATACACTGTATAGGTGATTAATTTTATTAATACATTCTGGGTGGAACATTAGGAGTCATCTGTCGTATTCCTGTTGTAATTGGCTTGCTGTCATCACATTAGACCAGCCCTAGAACTGTCCATCGGCTTTCATCTCCTATTCACATGATCTCCTACACGTCACCTACGAGTCCCAAACCTACTCAGGTTACACTCGAGGGCCTGACGTGTGATGTCACTTGATGGCCTCATCAGTACAGGTCCACTCCGTTTCTTTCTACATATCTATTGAGAGATTTAATGTTGTTTGGATTCTTGTTGACCATCATTTCTGACCGGCCATCTGGACTTTACTGTGGAGCAAAGTCTGTAGTAGCCTTTTGATAATGGTCTTACTGGCATATGCGCCAGCTCTCTGGAGCGTATACAAGCACTGACCCAACACTGGTGTTGAAAATTCAGACCTGGTTCCATGCACGAAGTCCTACTGATCTCCAAACTTATTTGAGATTGATGAAGGCATGTCTTGCTTTCTTGACGAGGTCCTGGTTCTCTTTGACATTCGCTTATAGTTGAGACGATGCTGCTTTGGTCAGGTAAGTGAAAAAAAGACTTCCTTTAAACTTCTTTTATTGATCGTAATTAGTGTTTATAGTTATTAGTTAGGTATCTTCATCGCCTATGTCTTCGTTGTGTTCATTTGAAGTGATGCTTTGGTAGCCTACTTTGCCAACTTGTTAGTTTTCGCCTGTATATGATCGGATTGAGCAAATAAATCCCCAGAAAAGTTCTTATCCTCTAGTGTCTTTTTCTCAACTCGACATAATTCCGTCTTCTCACTCCCTACACTCTGTTGCGTCATCTAGTCCCCCACAATTAGGAAGGACATCGTTGCTGTCTTGTTTTACTCCTACCTTTATTTCCAAGTGAAGCAGTTACAAATTCATTAGAGTACTTTGATAATTCTGTCATAGGTTATTTGGCAGATCTTGCTTAGCATCGATTATTTAAACGTACATAAGCAATCCTGTGAACAGACACATTGAAATAATCTATATATTTTGGATAAGCAGCAATCATTCTATGACAGTAGGGAGGATTTCTACTCCGTATTTGTAATACTTTTATCTGTTTTATTTCACAAATACTACTTAATTAAAACATGATCCTTACACTCACTGACTCAATCATTTATGAGGTATTGTTTTCAACAGAAATTAGAGCAATTCCTTCCTAAGAGATATATGACAAGATCATAGAACTAATGGTGCTGAGTTTATGCAGGGTGATTCTGTCAGTATAAGTAACTTGGCTTTTTTAAATATCTACATATTTATACGGATTTAATTGGTGGATGGTGACTAGCAGTGGAATCCAGGATGCACATTTCGTCCTATTTGGGACTCGTCATCTGGATGTACCTGCATTTCTCAGTGAGTGATGATGTTCCCACCGACTCTCGAACCCAGCACCCATAGTTTCAAACGCGCATCCTGGATTCCACTGCTAGTCACCATCCACCAATTAAATACTAACTAAATGTTCAGACATCGTCGAAGCATCTGCACAAGAAGCCGACATGTCAACGTGAGACCAAGCACTTCGGTCCAATCAATCGACAGGAAAATCTCAAATTCAATAAAATTTATACACATTGTTAAAAATGGCTAATCGTTTAACAATAACGTTACTCGAATATTTAAATGTATTAGAATAAATTTCCCATAATTCTAGTTTAATCAAATTGTGTATTTTAATATATTTGTAGCAATGACAATCAAAAATTGCACTTTCTGAAAGTAGGCTGAAAATGAACTGCCTGTAAAAGGGTTATTCAAGTCGTTCAAAAATAGCTTTTTAGATGAACAGTAGTGCGTACTGATTTGTTCTAATATCATTAAATAGTATAGTAACTTTTATGACTGAGTTTTACTTTGTTGTAGGTTCGTCTAACTTGACTAGAATGCGCCCCTGGAACACGACAGTATAACCCACTGATCATTTGATAATAATCGCTGACACTGAGAAAGATACAAAAGTCAGATTGGAAAAAACGACGGTAGGAGCGACCAACAACAGTGGTAACAACCTTTATTAGAGAAAATACATAGTGTCTTATATTTACAGACCCTCAGAAATTGAAGCTATAGTTAAACAAATCTGATTGGTTGCTCGACCTTACAGAATTAAGCCATAAATAAACGAATCACAACTATCCAATCAGGTTATCATATCAGTACATGCATAAATCATAAATTCACGTCTAATAAAGAAGTGTATTCATCCTAACAGTAACATGCCTTTTATAGCCAGCTCAGGAAAGGGCTCCTAAAGAGATTAACTGGATATAAATAGCACGTGGAATACATGATTCAGTATGTTCGATTTTTTGACGGAAGTATAGGCCGATGGTATATAGGATAAGCGTCTTTGATGGCAATTGTGAATACGTTTTAGGAGTTTAAGGCCATTCAAGTAGACAGTCTGGTTCGCAGTTTTCAGCTTCTTCTAAGCTGTTGTTAATATGATACTCATATGAAAGTTCCTTATTCAATTCAAGACACAGTATGCCTTAAAAAAGTTGTAGTAATTCAGTTTAACACAAGTTTACACCAATTTATCTTTTCGTTTATAATTCAAATAAACGTTTTCTCACCTACCTTGGTTTCCCTTGATATTTGAAAGGATTTGAAGCCGACTGAATAGATTCATAATCTGTAGGCATTGCTTTAATATCTAGATCTTGACCATCGATTAATATACTAATCGGATCATTTGTAACTGCTGATGGAGATGAACTAAATGTAATTGAATAATGATGCCAAATTCCATCATCATGCCCAGTAGACTGTGAACAAATATCCTCTGGTAATGGATCAAATATCCACATTGTAGATTTTTTTGGATCATCTACATTTGTTCTAGGTGCAGATGACATAATCCTCACTATGAATCGACATTCACGTAGATTAATCGATAAATATCTCCATTCAGGTTCTTAAAGAAAATAAATAATAAAATATTTATTAGTCGTTTATTTAAACACCTTATTTTATGTACTGAACAAAAATACCATGGAAAGAAGCAGAATCTTTCACCAAATATTTTCCTTACGGCATTTATTATCATTATTTATTATTATTACCTTGAATTCCAAGTGGAATATAATGGCTTCAGCAGAACATCACCATTTCACTCTGTTTTCTGCAGTTATTCTTAGCTGACAACTCACAAGCTTTCATCTTCTCCTCACATGATACCCTCCATGTCCCTCTGCAACTGATGTTCAACTTTTCCCTTCCCACTCACTTGCCTCTTGGACATCATTTGACGATCTCCTCAGTCCGCGTCCAATCCGTCTCCATTTTCTTTGGAGTATTTTGTTGGGCGATAGATTCTTGGTTAGTTTGTTTCCAGAGTTCCTTGTTGTTTATCCTTTTCTATCGATCACTTGATCTTTAGTATGTAGCGAAGCTAACTGCTGATAAAAGTTTGAAGTCTGTTGGAAATGCTTTCGCTGATGCGCACGCTGATTCCCTGAACCCTACAGGAGTTCTGACTTGAAATAAGTGTTAAAAACCCAAATCTCGCCCCTTACGATGAGCGTAGTAGATTTCTACACTGATTTAAAGTAATGAAGGTCTATCTTGCATTGTCTTACTTCCGTCTTCATTTCAGAGGCTTCGTGGAGCATTTCTTTATGAATAACTTAGCATGCGCCCCAGTTATATAGCTATTTAATGAGTTTAATAAAGGGTTGAGGTACTCCGTTTTGTTGAGGCAGCTGCTAAATTACTTCACCGTCGAGACTATCGAAGGCCTTTATGAAGTTAATGAATTTCATGTAAATATTTCACTGCGGTTCTATGTTCTTTTCGACGAAGATGTGTAGTGTTGCAATTTGGTCCGCACATAATTTGCTTTTCCTGAATCCAGCTTGTTCTGAGTGAAGTTTAGCGTCCAGAGTATCTTTTAGATCACTACGGATTAATATTTCATATGTCTAATCAGTTGTGGCTCATAATTCTATACACCGATATTATCGCAATTTAGTATTTCCACTCAGTGTTAAACTTTAACACACACACACACACACAAGAAAACTTATTGTTATTGTCTGTTACATATATATATATATATATATATATATATGATTGTGCAGCTATGAAAATGAAATCGTCGAAGAGAGAATTTTCTTCGCTGAATTCTTTGTTTCAAATTTCGTTTTAGTTATACGGTAGTATGATTCCTCTTCAGCTTTTGAGAAGGCTAAAGTTGTTCTTCTTTCAATCCGCAGATGCTTTTCTTCCCTTCCAAATTTTTTGTTATAGTGGTTTGAGACTGTCAGTTTTCAGTACTTTTGGGGAGGGGATTCCATCTCATCTTGCTGCTTTGACCAGTAACGTTAGTTTGTGCATCGCTGCTTCAACAGTAGAACACTCATCACTCACGTTGTTAGTTACGTTCGTACTCATAACCGATGAACTCTTAATCCTCACCTGGTTTGCTAGTCGACTGTAAGCCTGGAGAAGAGGGAAAGTCGAGTGTATGGCTAGAAAAACCATCCTGTGAGAAACAAAATTACGGCTAATGAAACTTTACAGCCTGAATCTGTCTGATGCATATGGAATGCACAAAAATGAGGAAAAATATTAACACTGATAGACCACCGATTATAGTTTGATACCAAACAATATTTTAAAAGTAATGAAGACATAATAAGAAACGATTTCACAAAGCTATTCACTTGGTACATCTTACGGAATCATTTTCAAACACTGAATCGTACTAAGAATGAGATAATAAGACAAACATACACAGCTAAAATCTTAGATGAGTTAACATTTACATCATGTATCTTATCTAAAGTACTTAAATACATCTCTGCAACTCAGCAATAGCCACACCCCACGCTGATGTTCTTGATTTATCCTTGATATATCTAGAGCAAATTGTTCAGCCCCATTTGAGCGGGTGCCTCGATATTACTATGACTAATAACTCGACGTCACTTGGTTGGTAGTCATAAGTAAAGGAGAATACGATGCGTGTTTCGTTCTACTTAGGACTCATCAGTTGAGTATACCTACTTTCCAACGAATGAACGTGTTCCTGGCAAGACTTTAATCAAGTGTATATCACTTCAAACGTTAAAGCTTTATCCATTTACCTGACAAGTAAGTAGGATCATTTAAATAATTTGGATAAATGTTATTTCAGCATATTAGAAAACTTTTTCTTTGCAGCTTGCAATTCAAGCTGAGTGAATGACTAAATATTTCATTTGCTTACCAATATCATCATGACTACAAATTATTGATTCTTCATGATCTTCTATATTTGCTTTATTTAAATAGTTATTAGCATTACGTCTTCTAAGCCAAAAAGATATAGTGAAATCAGAATCCCAACTAAATGATTGTTTTGTATGATTAATTAAACGATTTGTATCCACTTCCCAGACGGTAGACGAAGCTGTATCAAATCTCCATGCAAGTAATGATGGAATTAAACGTGGTGGATTACCCAGCGCTGGACCAATCAGCTGATTGACTATATCATATTCAGGATTAGGAAGTAAATTTGTATTAGTAGACGGATTCAAGCCTGAAATAAGAAGAGAATACATTGTACAACTAATATGATACATGTAATCATTAGATTTATTAACTGCTGATATATGAACAGAATTTAGACACTCTAGTAGATAATAATTCCATGGTAGCAAGAAAATTATTTTTGATATAAAACATACAATGATTTAGTGTTTTTTTATTTACTGATGACATTTCAAACACAATTTATTGCTTTTAGTCATACCAAAGAACTCACATAACTAACTTTCAAGCTTTGTTTGTATAATTCCTAAACAGTTGATTTGTTTTTCAAATGTGACCACGGATTGATATCAGTTAGAGAAACACTGAAAGCCAAGAAGTATTGGACTGCTGTTTCGTCCTAGTTTGGGACTCATTGTCTGTAAGCACCCACCGGGTTTCAAAACCAGGATATCCCGGCTACAACTCAAGCTCGTAGATCATTCAACCACTAAGACCCAATTCATTAACCAGCTCATGAATTACAACTTCTATCAACTCGTGATTTTAGCGCAACAACTAGCCAATGTCATCGGCGAGCATTTATCCTCACTCCCGACAGAATAGACCCCATTGTTCAATGGCCATTGCTTCTTATCCTTTGATTTATATTGGTAATGACATTTACTGAGGCTTTGGTGTTAGTATTAAATCATTTATATTACATGTGTTAGAGGCATATTGGATGAAAAAATTTTCAGTCGTAAATCTCTCCTTATATACCAATCTAAAAAAGTGAAAATGTCAAGTTTCTGTGTATGCATTCCTTTTTGCACTGGATGATATTTACACAAAAGCGTCATGATTACCAGCCATATCTACTAAAATCCTGATTATTCTGCATGTAATTATAGTTTCCCCCGTACATAGTTTCTACCTTAGTGCTCGCATTTTGAACTACTGAACATTTGTTCGAATTTCTATGCTGCAAAATGCATTCAGTCAGTACGAAACAGTCGTGAATAGTCATTTTTGTACTTTAGTGCTACAGACATAATTACACAAATAAGGACGATGTGAAACTGTCAGAAGTAGAACATACGTTGATCTTTGGTATAAGCTTCATTGATACTTTGATTGGACACTAGTCAGTAACTAGTGTGATGTCTCTAGTCCTTTCTTTGGCGCAGACTGAATTCTATCAGTCAACTTTGCAATGTGACCACCATTCTAGGTGGCTCGCCACCATAGTTTACATTGTTTTGAAGATATTAGATGGTTGGAGGCAATTGGCCAAAAGAAGCCTTGCTTGACCTATGTTTCGGGGTAGTTGGCACTCGTCAGCAAGGCGTATCTGCAACCTTGAAGGAACTCATGTCTCAGAAGAGTTCCTTAAAGGTCTCAGATACGCCTTGCTGACTGGTGAGTGCCAACTAGCACGAAACATAGGTCAAGCAAGGCTTCCTACCGATTGCCTCCTACTATCTAATAAGCTTCATTGAATATAGGATGTATGCAAGTAACTAACATCACAGTTTGATTGCCAGTATGAAAAGTATTTCCATCATGTCATCTATTAAAACATGATAATATGACAAATCATAGACATCTCTGGGATTGTCTTTAATAAAGGGAAAAGCCGAGGCTTTCGAAGAGTAGATATTTTGTAAGGAGTAAAGTATAAGTTAAATTTGTTTGAATATAATGAATAAAACTGAGTGAAAACCTCAGTCATAACAGAATTTGTGCCAATTTTAATTTCAGTACTTCTCTAATACAAATCAAAGTTTATCAGAGGGAAAGTTTCTCACACTATTGAATTATTCTTTAATTATGCAATAAAAACAAGTTAGGTAAAAAAGATCATTTCAGAATATTAGCGAATGAGGTAGGTGCACATTATATACCAACTAGGTATTTATTTTAATTTCAGTGGAATCAAGTTACTCATATAGTTTCGCGACTCATTTAATGTAGTGTAGTGTATTCTTTGAGGCAGTAATATAGACCTAGGGCTAAAATTAATAAGTCAAACTGAAGAAACTTAATATTAATTAAATAAACGTCTAGCCCCTTTGAGCATGCTTCAGGTGTTTTGAGCTTTGCTTTAACACATATGCATCCAGTCAAGCTCGGATGTCATTTCGCGCTCTTCCAAACATTGGTATCATGAATATCCTCAGAGTTTACCGATACTGATCAGATGAATTCTAAAATCTTTCCCCTAGATAACTTTATTTTATTGCTGTATTTAAGTATATTACTCATCAGAGTACATTTTCAAATAATTAAGTCTTTTTGATTTGATTGGATGGAGGATTTAATCATGAGCTGACATCAGTTAGAGAACCATTGGAAAACCTGGGAGTACTGGACAGCTGTTTCGTCCTAGTTTGGGACTCATTGTCAGTACGCACCCACCGGGATTCGAAACCAGGACCTTCTGGTTACAAGGCGAGCTAGCTCGTAGGCCATTAAGCCACTGGGAGGCAATCCAATGGCCCATGAATTCTATCCTCTGCCAATTCACGACATTGCGCGACCGCTAGCCAATGTCTTTAGCGAGTATTTGTCCTCACACCGGACCTGCTGCATCCTACTGGTCACGACTTCTCACTAGAACCCCTACCTGTATAGGGCCAGTCACTAGTGAGCATCTCATTGATATTCAAGTGTTGGTTTGTGGGGATATATATATATATATATATATACAATACGTTGTGTCACTGCTAGTTGTTATTTCAAATTCTCTAGGAAATCCGGGAGATGAATAGATACTCAATTGGTTACAGGGTTTCATCATGAGCTGAGCACCCACCGGTGGGTGCGTACTGCCAAAGAGTCCCAGACTAGGACGAAACAGCCGTCCAGTACTCCCAGCTGGTTTTCCAGTGGTTCTCTTACCAATGTCAGCTCATGATAAAAGTCCTGTAACCAATCAAATCCTTACAAACCAACACTTGAATATATATCTGTGATTATACAACTAAGAAAATGAATTAGCCATTGAAAAGAGACTCTTCGTTGAACTACGTGTTTTCTTTTCAATAATACATGGATGGGGATTATCGATGAATAAGAATATGTCTAATATGTGCGTCGGTGGCACAGTGGTTAGGAATCTCGCCGACCATGCATATGTTCCGAGGTTCGATACCCTGCCGACGCACACCTGATATCAATAGTCGGCCTGCGAAATTTGGGCTACCGATATGCAAGCTGAAAATTCCATACTTGTACCAAAAATACAGTATGGAATCAAGCTGTAATCAAAAATAAAATAAAATGATAAAAACTGATGTTCAGTGAGTTTATAAGTATGACAAATTTTCTTTAAACCGAACTACTGAATATAGTTGGTCATAATAATAAAGGTTATTGAAGTTATTCAGGTATTATTCCTATTTTTTTTGTCAGGTTTGTTTCATTATGAGTTCTAAGTATGCGACCATTTTAAGGAAATAAACAGATTGGAAGTAATTTTTTCAACTTATGTTAAAACATTGTAAGAGAATATAATTATGAACATCATAATGGAAGTAAAAGAATTGTATTTCTCAGGGAAAATAGTGCAAAGATTCAAAACAAGAACAGTCCAGAATATTCAGTACTGCCTTACTCATGTTCTAATTAATTAAGGATGTAGTTTACAGATTTATAATCTCTTATCTACCAAAGGTCTATCATTATGTTTTTCTTTAAAAAAACAACAGGAGTCTATTAATCTTCAACTTATGCATACACAAATAAAAGATAAAGTCTTAGTTTCGATCCCTGTAGGGCTCATGGTTGAATAATGCTGAGGAATCCCAAACTAGGACAACATAGCTGTCGAGTAAGCCCTACTATTCAGGGGTTGTCTTAATGAAGTCTGTGAGAAATCAGAACCTAAAATCTACCAAATCCCTGCAAACCAATGCTTGAACAGCCAAAATAACGGTTCATTTTTACACATGATTTAACTATGTGAGCAAAAGAGAAATGCCACAATTTACACCCAAAACTAGTTGTGTAAACTAAAAGAAAACAATCCAATGCAAACTTACCACAAAATTTTTGTTGTCTTCTTATGCTAACAGGATCATGTCGACAGGATTGTGAACTGGCAGTTAACAAATTCTGACCTATTACAGCTGCTCTAAGTTCTAATCTAGCTTCTATGAATGGATCAGAACATGGACCAGTACAAGTATCTAGATGTAAACTTGAATGTTGAAATAGACGTTCTGGTTTTTCTTCAGAGCCAAGAAATTCAATATCGGTTGGTATATCTACATGCCAGAAAAAAATAAAGAAACGATTATTGACAACTAATACTAGATGTGTATTTTACACCACATTGCATAAAAGTGATAGGTCCTTCAGTTTAAGGACAAAAATACACACCTGATCGGCATATTTCTAACAAAGATTGGCAATGTATAGGTACTCTGTCGACTGACTTACAACCAATTCATAAGCATTTACTCATCTTTTGGCTGAATGTCTCAAATATGTCAACTTTCTGAGTAGGATTCTTATCCATGAAATTTCGGGTGACAGAAAGAGCCTACTACATGATGTCGTTCGTCGGTAATGATAGCGATAACTGTGCTTCAGACTTTTCGTCAGTTGTGAAAGGTTTGCACCCGCTTTGTGATAAAGAACTGCTACATCGCCTTCTGTCTGCTCATTGGGCTGTCAAACTCCACCAATACTTTTTCTACCAAGAACTCTCAGGCCTTCATCACACCTGTACGCCCCATGCTATCGTGAACAGACTTTATCCAACCTCGAATCTGCGTCCCTATCATTATCAGTAGTATAATTAGTAGTAGTAGTTAGCAACCTGATTTAAATCAATTCATTTGTTTTGTGTAATAATGTGTAGGTGAAAGTAAATATTTCATATGAGTAATAAAAAGGTTAAACTGTCTAACTACTTTATAAAAAAAATGAAAGTTTAAGCATTTTTCTTGAGTACTGATATCACGAGTAGTTGGTTATCTTTTATATTTTTGTTATAAAGCATGACTAACAAATGATTGCATAGCATTAGTATAGGTTGACGAAAAAAATTAACTATTTTCAATAAAATTATGAGTTTTAACAATCAACCAAATGTGAGTGAACATAAAAATGTATATCACTTGATAACAAAAATGTAGAATTATTAGCAGAGATTTTATAAAATCAAGGATTTTAAGGTGATATGTGGACTTGTTAAGTTTCTTAGGAGACAGAGATTATAGAGATGCAAAGTCGTTTTCTCAGTTTCCATTCAGCAAATCTTAATAATGCAGCGTACAAAGGAAGGCATTATGGTTGACTTTATATGCTCGATTTCCAAACAGTGTGTCAATAAACCTCTCATCAAAGAATATTTTCTCTTTTGTTTCCATTTCTTCGAGTAGAATGCAGGGCCGTAGGTTTGTGCTTTGGAGTTTCAGTAACGGTAGGGCTTCTTTTTACAAGGTGAGACCCCTAGCCTTACGCCTAACATTCCCTCTTTATTACCGGGCTCGCAACCGGCTAAGCACGTTTTCGAAGTGCATCGACCGGGGATTGAACTCCGGATCACATAGGTAGTTGGTGAGCATTCTACCACTGAACCACCGATGTACCACTGAAGAATATTGTTTATCATAAAACTGAAATTAATGAACGCTGTAATTATAGTGTAGGATTCTCAAGTAGTGGTTGCTGATGCTAATCAGTCACCGAAAATTGATGCAGAGGATTCAAAACATAACTACTACAATTTTTTTCATACGTTTACGTTCCCAGTGGAACATAGGGCTTCAAGATAGAGGCTTGAAGTTTCGATAACAGTGGTGCTTATTTTTATGGCGTGGGGGTTGCTAGCCTCATGCCCAACCTTCCTTCTTTACCAGTCTTATTACTGACTTAGAGAAGTAAAGGGATCGGTCGGTCGAGGACAGAACCTCGGACAGCATGAGGCGTGGTTGACGAGTATTCTACCATTGCTCCACCGATGTAACTACTACAACTGAAGAGACCAGATGATAACACGACGAAACGGAATGTTTACTTATAAATGCACTATCTAGTATAAGACAGATATCACTGCTTTTTCCATTTCTTAAGTCTGTTAACATTAGAAAAGAGAAGAATTCTACAAAAAAAATTATTAAAACCGGACCAGGATATAAGAGATATTAGGAGTGTGAAATTATTTTGATAAATAGGAAGATTGTAAGAAGGAGAGCAATGAAGTGTTGACATTTCTGGCGATTTGAATTTACTTTCAGGCACATATTAGGCCGGTGTTTAAATAACTACTTCTCAACATTTCTAAAAGCTTAACTGTTAAATCTTTCAACACGTCTTGGCTCAATAATCAGCAACTCAAAAAGGGTACTATCTATGGTATCAGCCATCACAGCTTTCTTCTGATAGTATTTTATTTTCAACTAGTAATTGTCTCAAAATGTATGATATGTACTTCATGGAACCCAGTTAATACTGTTTCCCTAAACTCTGTGACTGAAACCTACTTTTACTCAAAGCCCTGCACACAACCTGAACACTGTTTCGTCAATTAATTTATCACAAGTAACTGGCGTGACAGAGATAACTGTAGTGGAAAACTTATTTCACTTCCCATACCACTTATCTTTGATGGTTCAAACACGCGGGAGGTCAGAATTAAACTCCTGACCGATTTACTCCCAGGCCTCACCTAACTTGTGCTAAACCCGGAGAAGAGGGAATACTGCGGCTATGACCAGCAATTTTACCCCACATAAACAAAACTACTACTAATGAAACTTCAAGAAAGGATCTAATCCCTCTGTTTTACTCGCAACATAACTGGAATGAAGGTAACTGCAATTAACTGATGCAGAGAAGAATTAAAATATTATAGTCGTTGGCTTGCAGCCAGTGACTTGCTACAGGACGGAGTTTCCTTCAGTGCTAGTGACAAGTCGTGACTAGTGATGTCCATCCAGTCAAGTGCGTGGATGGATGTCCCACCGATGACATGGGGTGGTGGTCACGCTAAATCGTGAATTGGTAGAGGTTAGAATTCATGGGCTATCCATTGAATCGGGTCCCAATGGCTGAATGGTATACGACCTGACTTGCTTTGTAAGCGGAAGGTCCTGGTTTCAAATCCTGGCGGTAGGTGCGCACTTCCGATGATTCCCAAACTAGAACAAAGCAGCTGCCCAGTAATCCCTAGTTTTCAATGGTTCTGATATCAATCCGTGATCAACTCGTAAAAACAAATATATATATATAAATTAAAACAGACAATAACAATCAGTTTGTCTGTGTGTGTATGTGTGTGTGCTGAAGTTTGACAGTGAGTGGAAATACTAAAGTGCTATAATAACATTTGTGTATAAGAACATGAGTCACAATTGATTAGATATAGGAATGAACAAGTAAATAAATAGATAGAGGTCAACCTAAAGGGCAATAGACAAGTGTGAAATAGATGATCGGGGAATAAAGTACATTAGGAAATGTGAATATGTGAATATAATGTGATGGAAACATTGGATGAGTGAAATGTTGTCAAGGTAGTAGACTAGATAAAATTTTAGAATATAATGATATCAGGTGAAATGAAATAAAACAAAAATGGAACATAGAATAATGAAGGATAACAAAGTCCTCATGTGAAAGAGATCCTACAGATTGTGTTTGTACACTAAGTTCTGGCTTAATGTTATGTGTAACTAAAGCCTATGATGTACAAAGCAGATGCAGTCGTATCCCTTTCAACAAATTTTGTCGAAATTTGTAGACTATATTAAATGCTGTGTCGGATGTTGCGTGGTTAGTATCTACAATAAGTTGTAGTATCTATGTATTAATACCTCTACGCTATGCTTTGTTCAGACAAACTGGGAGGTGATCTCGAACGCGCCGGAGGGATGTGTTTCTCAACGAACGTCCTATGTACCTAGCTCCGCAAGAGCAGGTCAACATATAAATACACATGGAGTTAGACATTTAGGGTAACATTTCCTTGCCAATGAGGTGTACCAGTGGACGACTAGAGTAGGTTATTCATAAAATGGCAGCAAAGAACGTTTTTCTCAGTGATCTAGTGAGACGAGTTTTAAGTATCTCACTCGCAGTGTAATCCCTAAATTTTAAGTTTACGTGCAGCACATTTTTAGCTACTTTCTCAAATTCTGTATTTCTTGCACTTTACTTGCTATTAGCCTCGACGAAGAGTGGTGGATATCCGTTCTCTGTGAAGGTTTCTTTCAGTTGTTTGAGTCCATCATCGGCACTATCTTCGCTATAAATTATCCGGACCCATGTTGAGAGAGAATGGATTAGGTACTTTCTCCTATCAATGGGAATTCGAGAGAAAAATCCTAGTCTTTGTATACAAAAGATATTTGTTCTGCTTTTGTCTCTCCCTTGGCTTAGGTGAATTCTATTCAAAACACTCCCACCCTTTCTTATCATCCATCTCCTTCGTACTTTTAAGATATTTATTTAAACTCTGATTATCGTTCCATTTGTTTTGACCTAATTCATTTATTTATTGAATTGTCTACATATATGCATATACTAACTTTGTTATTCTTATCACCTGTATAAGCCTTATTATCAATATTTTGTTATCATTATAATCATCGTTATTAACTTCGTTTAAAACATTTACCGCATTATTATTATTATTATTTGATCCACAAAATCACCGTCATTGGTTAAAATTTTATGTACATAAGTCTATGTAAATTAGAGTAAAGCCTGAAGAAGATCTAATTGAAAACAATATTGTTCGCTTATATGTCTTGTTCTAAAACTGTAAATGTTAGTTAGTTGTTCTATCCGCGGGGATTTTCTGTAAACAGATCATTTCAGAGACCCCTCAACTCTCCTTTTGAGTAGCGCATCAAGAAAAGATGATTTTCCTTCAGTTTCCTTTTCTAAAGTGAACCGGATGGTAGAATTACTGCCATTGAATACATTCAGGATTTCATTCAAGTCACAGTTATCGTCGCATATAATGCATGTGTCATCCACGTCTCTTTTGTAGAAGGTGAGCTCCTTTATGGCAGGTGTCAGAGTACTACTCTCCATACTAACCAAAAAGAAACCTGCTAGTAACTGACCAAGTGACAAAGTTATAGCTACCCAATCTCTCTGTCTATAGATTTTGTTACTGAAAATAAATTGGACATTGATAGTACATAGAAATATGAGCTCTTATAGGTATGTCGTGGGCATTCCTAAGTTTACATTATGTAAGTCTATATAATTACAAATGAAGCATACAGTTTCATTCAATGAAACATTGGTAAAAAGGGGACATGCGTCAAGTGATAACACAGTTTCCTCATTAAAATTAGTATCATCAACATAATTTTACCATGTAATTCACATGAAAAAATTTTGTTACCCTTCTTCATTCCGTGTTCCATTTTTGTTTTATTTCATTTCACCTGATATCATTATATTCTAAAATTTTATCTAGTCTACTACCTTGACAACATTTCACTCATCCAATGTTTCCATCACATTATATTCACATATTCACATTTCCTAATGTACTTTATTCCCCGATCATCTATTTCACACTTGTCTATTGCCCTTTAGGTTGACCTCTATCTATTTATTTACTTGTTCATTCCTATATCTAATCAATTGTGACTCATGTTCTTATACACAAATGTTATTATAGCACTTTAGTATTTCCACTCACTGTCAAACTTCAGCACACACACATACACACACAGGCAAACTGATTGTTATTGTCTATTTTAATTCATATATATATATATATATATATATATATATTTGTTTTTACGAGTTGATCACGGATTGATATCAGAACCATTGAAAACTAGGGATTACTGGGCAGCTGCTTTGTTCTAGTTTGGGAATCATCGGAAGTGCGCACCTACCGCCAGGATTTGAAACCAGGACCTTCCGCTTACAAAGCAAGTCAGGTCGTATACCATTCAGCCATTGGGACCCGATTCAATGGATAGCCCATGAATTCTAACCTCTACCAATTCACGATTTAGCGTGACCACCACCCCATGTCATCGGTGGGACATCCATCCACGCACTTGACTGGATGGACATCACTAGTCACGACTTGTCACTAGCACTGAAGGAAACTCCGTCCTGTAGCAAGTCACTGGCTGCAAACCAACTAATAAATATATACACATATTTATATATATGACTGTACAGCTATTATAATGAAATCGTCGAATAAAGAATTTTCTTTCCAGTCACTGTCAAACTTCAGTACATACACAGACAAACAATGAAAATGATTGTTCAGCTATGTAAATGGTGAATACTGCCAATGATTTCCAAACTAGTATGAAACAACTGTCTAGTACTCTCTGGTGGCGTTCAGTGGTTCTGTAACTGATATCATTCCGTGGTCAAACTAGTAAAAACTAATCTCATCCCCACAAACCCACTCTTGGAAATGAAGTCGTCGAAGAGAGAATTTTCTTCGCTGAATTCTTTGTTTTTAAATCTCAGTGGGGATTATTAATTTAATTTACATTTTGAATTTTCTAATACATATTATTATTCAGTATATGGTGACATGATGTTACTTCATGCTGTTATTACTATGATTAGGTGGATGAAATGAGTTGGAAATAAGTAAAGAAAAATGAGGAGTGATTAACAGTGTGGCATCTGAATGCATAAGAAGACCGGATATAGAGATCGTAATGACGTTGGTATTCGTGGTAAAATCACGCGTACCTCTATTATGTTTGATAGACTATGTAAGAGGAACCTAGATTTTAAAAACAAGTTACCATTTATTATAACAATAGTGACTATATTAGGAAAAAGTAAAGTATGAGGTTTTAGAAGATGGACACCTCAAATACTTCATGTTTGTAAGTATTCAACTAAGGTTAGGTGGAGTAGTTTTATGGAAGAAACATTGCTAAAGTTTTGAAGTCATTTTTCTATCGACTTTCGTCAGGACAGAGGGGATCAACAGTGTCATATTGACTGAGAGTTATTTTATTGCAAATTAACTTTATTTTTACTTGCAGTACTGCGCTTATAATGTGTTTACAAAAACACTTAGAAACTGAACCGACGGAACAGATTTATCTCTCAGATAGACATTTTTCATGCTCATGTGTTCTCTGAGCTGGATGATTTATTTGGGAAGCTGTCACTGTGCTTCTAGATATCGTCTTCAGCGCTTACTTCAGGTTGAAGAACCGTAAAAGCCTTGCAAATAAACTATTCAACCTACAGAAAATACAACAACGTCAAAAGCACATAATGAACTAAGTGGTCTAGTGGATAACGCTTTGGCGTTTGAAACTATGGGCACTGGGTTCGAGCCTCAGTGGGAACATCATCACTCACTGAGAAATGCAGGTACATCCAGATGACGAGTCCCAAATAGGACGAAATGCGCATCCTGGATTCCACTGCTAGTCACCATCCACCAGTTGTATTCTAACTAAATTAGAGGTTGAAAAAAACACCATTCTTGAAATTACACTTACTTTTCCATCCAGGTCGACAATCGACAAGTATTTGATCAATAGTTATACCAACTGAAGCTCTGTGAGGTACAGGGCGAGTACAGTCTTCAGCGATAACTTGTAGTGAATAAGGTCTTTGTGCAAGAGATGAAAGTGATTCACGTACACGTATAACACCTACAGCAAGAAAATAAGACAAAATCAAACAAAGTATAAGAGTCATAAATCATGTTGTTTATAATATATGATAATTTGCATAAAATACAATGTGTATGCCTTGAGGATTGTAAAACAAAGTTTTTTATTTACCCTATGAAACAAGTCAGGTGAAAAATCATCGATTAAAACGCTTAGCTTTAACATTCAAGAATGTGAAAGAATAATCTCTTTGCATGCTTTTCCTCAGATCCGAGCTTAATTTGAGCTACTATAACTGTTTAATATGGTACTAATTAGTGTCTTATTTCGCAAGTCAAAATGAAAGCTGAAAGCATTGTTCCATCGAATGTTGGCATTTGTTTAACGGGGTAGTCATTCTTTTTTGAGTTCTCGCAGTGCATGGAGATGCTGATGAGATAGTTATTCCAGTGAATAAAATGACTGAATAAGAGGAAGCAACTATGTAGTTATTCAACCTTTGTTTTAGATAGACATCATAGCATATATCTACATGAAGTTATAAGGAATAAGTTTCACGTAGAGCTATCCACCAGATGTTTGTTTTTATAATTCCTTTCTATCGTTTTTTCCAGTGAAGTTGCAGAATCGTAGCCACCGCAAGACAGTTTAGGATACAAACACGACGTAATGATCAAGTTTTCATAATTTAACAAGTTCCAGAACACAGTGATAGTGGTAGTTAGTCCCTGTTATATTTAATGATCAGTAGAGGGCACTTAACTAAGTCAACTCAGAGGTGTGTTGTATGTTTACTCAAAGTTATGTAGACCTTTGAGACCTAAAGGTGAGCTGACATCTGAAGTGATTGTGAGAAGTTCACTGTCACTATATTTCTGTATTTTCATTACAATCACGCGGTTAGATGCGACTGTGTTTAATATTAACATCCTATGAATGGACTTGCCCCCAGGAAAAGAGCCTCTAGATGGTAAGTTTTCATTGAGTGTTGAGGCTTCTATGTATCTTGAGCAAAAATAGGGATATATCTGATATGCACTTCATCTCTGTGTAATGTAAAATAGTGTTATAGGACTGATTCCTACAATGAAGAATACAATAAGAGGAAATGGTAACCATATGATTTCTTATCTTATGTTTAGATACTGACTGATTGGTGTGAAAAACTATAAGTATGAACCACACAGAGATAGACTAAACCGATTATCGGCAATAATAATAATAATAATAAAATGTGACATTGATGAGACGGGTAGTTTTTGTTAATTTGTGCTGATACATAAAGCTTCCTAAAGCCTCAAGTAAATTAAGAAAGTTCAGTTAGCAAAAATTATAGCGAAAGTAAGCTTGTAAACTGTAGAAGTCTTCTAAAAACCAATGGTGAAACCAACCCCAAGCATACCTCAATAATACCTGATTCCAGTTCTAAGGGTTTATAACAGCGGGGTAACAAAAGTAAGTTGTGAAATAGTATTGATGCTGAAATATTCTACTAATATATTAGCCTATGATGGTTAAGAGGAAACGTAACATAATGTGTATCAAATGCTATTCTTCTGGAGTTCTGAAATGGGATACAGTACACGTTTCTAACTTCCAGCCAACCCTCTCATGTAAATAGAAACGACTGTCATTCACCATTTACAACGAACATACAATACCACGGAAAAGGTGTAAGTCACGTCTGTACACCATATGACTCGAACATAAGAAAATTAAAATATCTATTCTTCATTCTGTGCGGGACAGATTATTTAATTGCATGGAGGATTTAATCATGAGCTGACATCAGTTAGAGAACCACTGGAAAACCTGGGAGTACTGGACAGCTGTTTCGTCCTAGTTTGGGACTCTTCAGGACGAAACTAGGACGAAACAGCTGTCCAGTACTCCCAGGTTTTCCAGTGGTTCTCTAACTGATGTCAGCTCATGATTTAATCCTCCATGCAATCAAACAAAATCCCTACAAAACCAATACAGATTATTTACGCGATATAGATAATACTAGCTATATGCTAGTTGGACATTATTAAGGTATAGTAGTCCTAATACCAAGCATGAGTGATTGGGTGGTAGAATGTTCGTCAGCCACACAGCTCGATATCCTAGAGAGATACTCCTGGACGTCGCCTGGTTTACTAGCCCATAGTAAGTTCAGGAAATGAATTTCGGTGAATGTTGGGTGTGAGTCTAGCAAATTAGAAAAGAAAACGGTCTAACTGCTACTGAAACTTCAAAGATTAAAGTCCTTTGCTGCATTTGAAACGCAAAGGAATGAATATAATCTCAATATAAGATTATAATAATCTGACAGGTTATTAAAGCATTTTACTTTGTTGCAGTCTTGACTGGTAATTATGATGTATTGAGGAATCATACAGTGTCGCGTATAAATATTTAACTCAATAAAATGTGAGGTAAGGAATAATTTTATTCAGATTTGTTTTTTTTTGGGGGGGAGTTCGATTAGTTTCCGTGCAGATTTGGTCACCATTCAGCATCATTTAGAGAACCACTGAAAATCAAGGAGCACTGAACCATGTTTTGTCCCCCTTCTTTGGGACTCTTCGGCAGTACACATGCATGACTATTCAGAAATTGGACTCAGGACCTTCAGTTTATGAGGGCGGCCCGTCAACCATTCAGCCAGTGAGTTGTAATTCAGTGTCCCAGGATAACTAAGCTCTGTTAATTCACAGTGTAGCACTACCATTTACCGGTACCAATGGTAAGTGTCCGCTTCACTCTGATATGACAGATCGCAGCGACAGCAAATTCTCATTAGAATTTCAGGAAATCCATCCGGTAGGCAATAACTAACTGGAAATTGATATCCAAACCCTTAGTCTGATAGAGATTTCGATTAAATTCAATGTAGATTTCATTACGAAGCGACATTATGATTCTTTATTCAGCTCATGAGTGTGCGTTACTAAAGAGTCCCGGATCAGGACGAAACACTTGTTTAGTGCTCCTCGGTTTCCATTGCAGCTAATGTCACTTCGTGACGAGATCTTCTGGATGGAAATATATTTGGGACATAAATGGCTTGTTCTTCTGTAATTGAGAGAATATCCACATTAGGAAGAAATATTTCTGTCTCCTCTCTCTTGATGTTTAAAGCTGTAGGTAAAAAGGCAGTTAGTTCCACTTGATTTACTGTAAACCTCTTAATGTCAGTTCATTTCTTTAACAACTTTTTGTAATTATATAATTTATCCATTTTAAGTATGCCTCTTCCTTAACAATCATGTTATTTAAAATTTTTTCTATCGTATTTGTATGTAATAAAGCAAATTTTAGTATCACTAACTTCCTTTTAATGTAATATTGAGCAGCAAAATGAAATCGTTGAAACGAGAATTCTCCTTCACTGAAAAAAAGGTTTGTTTTCCCTTATTGATGGATAAATAAATGCCTAGTGGGAGAAATATAGCAGCACTTCCAACTAATTAAACAAGTCTATTGTATCGTTGTTAATAGGATTTCATTCAAAACTGAATGTTTCAACAACACATGTAGGTAGGTGAAAGAACTTATTATTATTATTCCCTTGGGTTCCGAGTGAAACATGCGGTTTCAGTAGCACATTTCCGCTTTGTTCTGTTCTCTTCATTCCTCTTTAGGTTGCTACACAGCAGTCTATAAGCTTTCATTTCCTCTCCAGTAGATCTCCCCTGTCCCACCCTCAGTCTCCTAAGCAGGTGTCTGTTCCATCTCCATATTCTTCATCATATTCGTTTAACTACAGGTTCTTGGATGGTTCGTTTTCAGAGTTTCTTGTCCCTAGTCTTTTTCGACTAACCATCTGATCTTCGATGTCTAGGAAGCGAAGACACTTGTTGGTAAAAGTCTGCAGCAGGCCATTGGAAATGTTTTTGGTGACACACAGTCTCTGGTACATACAGAAGCAATGACTTGATATTAATGTTGAAAATCCTATTCTTGTTCCTTATGTTTAGTGCATCAGATTTCCAGATTGCTTTATATGATTAATGAAGGTCTCTTTCACTTTCACCATCCTGAATGACTTCAACATTTTCATCCGCGTCACTTGTAGTCAAAATGATACTGTATAGATAAGTGAAAGAAGTTATTTCCAAAGAATTTCTCTTTTTGACAGTGATCGGTTTTGTCATCTCAATGTTCACTTAAAATTCCTATTTTCTCTGCCCGCCTTGTTGGAATTCGCCTTTAGATTTTTGACTATGTGTAACATTAAACACAATTCGTCCAGAACGTTGAAATTTTTTAGAGTCTTTTGTCCGCTCAGAGTATTCTTGCCTTCTCGCTCCCCGCACTGGCTTAAAAATGATCGTATGTAATCAGTTTTTTCCCCATTAGTTTTAATTTATCCTAGATTAGTGTCTAAATAAGTTAGAAATGGTTGAATTAATATTGTCATTAGTCAACTATTTCTTTCTGGTAAATTATATAACTGACCACCTTTTACTAGGTAAAGTGAATTACATAAGTGCTTTGTTTAAGCATCAAGTTGTACTTAAGCGTTTAATTTGATTTGATAAAACTATCTATAATTTAGTTTATATAAAGAATAAAAATTAAATCTTTCTGCTTCTGTGATTTTATGCATAAAAAAGCTTGTTTCCGGAGGTTAATTTGATTGGTTTTTATATTACAAGAAAAGGGGTGAAATAAATGTTCTAAAAAAAAGTTTATTTTTTATTTAGCAATAATTCAAAATTTGTATTTTGATCAATTATTTACTTATTATGGTAAATCAAAAATAGATTTAACTAGTAGTGTATAGTCTGTCTAGACAAGTGATTTGAAAAGAAATCTGTCTCTAATCGTCAACGTGAACAATTTCACTATCTACACAAGGAGAAATGCACATTGGTTTTTGGTCAAATTAAGTTTATGTGGAGAACAGTTTTAACATACTTGGAGAAATAAATAAAGCTGAAGAAGCAGTGAAGGCAGGAATCTAGGTGAATATAGGGAAGACAGAGGTGACGAAGGTAACCAACCAACAGCAATAATAACCAACAACAGTCACCATCAACGGGGGAAATTTG